TCATCGAGATGCATCAATTCATTTTTTCACGATTTTAAACAGCACCAGGAACAAGAAAAAGCAAAGGAATCCAATATTTTTCGAAAGATTGCCGGGGCGTGATCATCGATTTTTTATTTGGATAGAAACACGAGCAGAAACCAGAAGCATGCAGATTTTTATTTTGAACATTAAAGCACCAGGGGCATGATCGTCATCATGATATTTTTGAACTTCTAACCTTTACCATAGTAGTACCATCATCGGGAGATTTTTAAGATTGTAATTTTTTAGAACTTAAGGCATTGAGAACGGGGAAGGATCGGATTGGAAGCGAGACAGGATTTAGATCGCAAGACTCTATCACGTGCCCCATGCCTGTCGAGCTTCCAACCACGACCACAACCCAAAATAAATACTACAACGACCATAGATAAAAATAGGATGCGTATGAAGGTAAAAATAAACAACGAGAAGACGAGAGCGGTCGATTTATAAATATGCAGGAGAATGGCGCAAGTGTGTGAAACTAAGATATATCGAATAAAAGACGGAAGAACGGAGATAAAAATAATTTGATGCATATAAATAGATATAGAACGAGAAATAAAGCGGATGTGTAATCTGATGCCCCTGGTGCTATAGAAAATGAACAAATTATATATCCCCAAAATCCAGGCCCTCCTGATCCTGGTATTCTGGCGGTATACTTTCTTCTTCTGCTGCTTCTTCCTCTTCTTGCTCTCCTCCTTGTTGCTCTCCTCCTTGCTCGGCTGGTGGCGGTGGTGGTACTAGTGGCCCTTTTCCCACCGGCTTCCCTTCGCCTTCTTTTCCTTTGCCTTTGTCTCCCTTTCCGCCTAGCTTACCCTTGTCGCCTTTGGCTGCGTCCTTACCGCTGTCTCCTTTGGTTGCGTCCTTACCTTTGTCCCCTTTGGCCTTGCTGTTGCTCTTGTCACCTTTGCTGCTTTTCCTCTTGTCGTTCCCCTTCTTGACTCCCTTGACGGTGCTGCTACTGCTGCTGCTGGAGGCTGGTTCCTGGTAAGGGTGCCAGCGTCGGTTTTGACCGTAGAACGGACTAGGCGACAAGATGACCGCGGTTTTGTTCTCCTCACGAGGCAGATCGCGCCCCCCAGTTATCCGCAAGAGCATACGATGGAAGAACATGGCCCAACCACCCTCTTTGTGGACGAGAGCTCCATAGTCCCAGAATAACGTCTTCACGGTGCCAACAGCTTTGTCGATTTCGCGGTGGTAGTGGTCAGATGCTGAATTGATATTCGCATCATACCAGGCTGTCCACACGGTTTCGACCTGAGCGACGTGACAGGCAATAAGGAGACCATAGGCCTGCGCAAATTGAGTGTCCGTCGTCACAGCCCTGAGGCATCGGATTTGCTGAGCGGCAATGTCGTTAAAGATCTCCGTCTTTACTGTTGCTGACTCTGGAAGGGTCGGATACGGAGGACGCACCGCAGAGCAGACAGATCCTCTTTCTGCGATGGCAATCATCGTTTGCACCCATTCGGGCCCACTTCTGTGAGTTTGCGCCGGGGGAGCCAGGGAACTACTAGAAGCCGGCATTTTGTTGAATGTCGTTTTTTGTATATTTATCCTAAGTATATATGATATACGTGACGTGGTAGAATAATTAGTGGTAATAGTGTACAAAATATCCGGCGGGAGAACACAAGTTTGAACACGTGTAGATAGTCAGATAAAGAACACAGATTACTAGGGTAAAAGGGAGGAAATGACACACAGAAACCTGTTGAAGACTTTGGAGAGAGACGAGCTCACACAAGCACCAGTGGCACCATATGCGCGCGACGGAAATCTAAGAAGAAATATAGCACAAAAGACTAGCAGGCCATCCTAAAAGAACTCAAGATCCAGAAGATAGCGTCGTCGGTATGGGGATTCGCATTCTCCTGAAGATCATCAGAACCACCTAGGAATGAAAAGAAACTGACTACCAAGATCAGATAAGTACTTACGAACAACGATACGAAAAGAGACCTTCAGAGACTCAAAGCTTGACACATGCAGATATGAGACGAAATGAAGTGACGTCGCCAAACCTAGTAGGTACCGCCCACCTATATAGAGTCTAAAGTGTCCGAGTATAGGCTTCTGATCCAGTCTAGGAATCGGACAACCGTCACGAGGGTGATTGAAATGAATGAACGATGGTAGGCCCTGCAGAACATTGATATCAGGTAGCTCTACCAGTTACTTACACGCAAACGAGTCAAATTGATTTCAGAGATAGCGAAACTTACTTTCAGAGATAATTGAACTGACTTTCAGAGATGACTGAACTTACTTTCAGAGCAGTTCTAACCCCCCTTCACATTCCAGAAGTCATCAGTTAAGAGTGCGTCAGTGGCACAGGGAAGACCACGAGCTTCGTCGGCGGTGGCAGCCCGGAGTAGTTCTTTAAGAAACTGCGCACTGACCTCCGGACAACATCGCAGATTGTTCCATCGCGGATAAGCGATCTGCTGCCAGATTCCAGGCCAGACACTGACGCCAAGATATGCCCGAACAGGAACGAGA